AGTGTCATACAGCTGCAGAGAAAGCTCTGGGGATTAAACCTGGGAAAGCCTCCAAGACCAGGACCTGGGTTCAAGTACCAGCTGAAAGCAATAAACCAACTGCCACAGCTGGGCTAGGTTTGGATGTTCTCAAAGTCCCCTGACTCTTTCACTTACTGAGAACTAGAGATCAAGATGAGGGAAGATTTGGCTTCAGCACAGACTGTGAAATGAGGTAGGTTGTCCCATTGCCCTAGCCTTGCCAAAGGTCCTGAGATGCAAGGGTCACTATGCTCAGGCTCATGGAAGCCTGCTTTTCTGTTCCTCTCTATCACCTGACATTCACAACTTTCTTCATGCTTACTTAGGAAAGCGGAGAGCAGTTGTCTCTCCATTCTCATAACAGACTTGGTGTAGAAGAAAATAGAAACTGTGCTAGCAGATGGAGCAAGTAGATGGCCCCTCCAAACACTGAGGTTTGTTCACATTAGACCAAAGCACTCTATACAACCTTCTGCAAGGGCCCCAGGCCACTTTCCACACTCTGCTACAACTCCTAACAGGTATAAATGGAACATCGACTTACTTCCATACATATTGACCCCATCACACAGACCTACTAAGTGTCACTTCTCTTTGTGAGAGAAGAAACAAACGGCCTTGCAAAAATGCCTTATCACTTTCCAGTGCCGATGACGTTCTGTAATCACCACCCAGGTGACATGTGCTTGTCATTGCCTAGGAAATAGATTTGACTGGAAAGATCATGATGGGCTTGGGAATTTGCCTAGGAGAGTGCAGGATGCTATACAATGATTGTCTCATGGCACAAGGAAGAGGGCAGCACATGTAAGACAGGGAGGGAATGAAGGGAGTGAAATGAAATAAGGGTCCAGTGTGTCAGATGGGCCATTAGAAAGTGGAGTTTCTGGAGGAAAAGCAAATGGGAATATAGGCTATCTGGTCACCTCATCTTAGGATCAGAGAAATTTGTCTTTGTAGGCAAAGACCAACAAAAGCATGCAAAGGAGAGGTGTTAAGTGGAAGTCATTTCCTTCTACTCTCTTGAGAGCATTGCTAAACTCTCCAAAATGAAGATTATCAACAAGGGCCTTACTAGTATCAGGGGGTTTATAGTTCTGACATCTACAGAATCATCTAGAATGTGTTATTTCCTATGGCCTTAAAAGGAACAGCTACACAGTATGGAAGATCGGTGGGCATATGACAGTTTGAAACCCACAGAACCATCATAACTTGCCAGTCTCTCAACCATAGTATTTACTCAGTGAGTATCAGGGAGCTGTAGAATATGAGAAACTAGAAAGGAGGAAGATAAAATTCTTATTCCACCTTTCAGTGCTCAGTGTGAGGGCTCTAAGGTAGGGTTACCCTCAGCGGTAGTAATACCAGGTTTATTCTGTTGAACAGTGGCACAGCCCTTAAACAACCATGCTTTGAGTTTAGGCCCCAGGATAGCAAAGCTCCTCCTTTATGCTTAAACTTGCATTCCAGAGACAACCAGCTGCTGATCCTGAATGCTGAGAGAGAGTGCAGAAGGGGACTTTATTCTCTATCCCACTGACTTCTCTAGCCCAGACTAGTTCACAAGATAGTAAATAAGTGGAGTCCACAGCTATAGCAATTTATTTTCTGGGCAATTATACTATTTGGGCAGATTTATTCTCCCTGTGAAAGAATAAGTATGATTCAAGTATCCCAATCTGCCTCTCCGTAGCCCAGGATGTGAAGCCCAGTTGGGGGTGGCTGCAGCTTGGACCACGTGCCTGGCTGTAGATTGAGCCCTTGCCCAAAGATGGGCAGCAGCTTGCAGAGCCGGCAACAGGCCATTTGCTGCAGCATCCAAAGAGAAAACAGACTCGGCACCTCAAGCAAATGAGGCCCAGCACTTCCTGTGTGAGCTTTCCATTTCCTCAGCCAAACAAAAGCCAAAGGGAGTGAAAGGAGGCGGGGAGATGAGGGAGACATGCTGCCTAAGAGAGCGACCAGATCTGATGCCCCAGGATATGGGTAAATAGAGGCTGAGTGGATCATATCTAAGGGACTTGTGGTTGTCAGGTGATCCAGGGAAGGCTCAGGCTCTAGGGACAGCTGGTCTGCCTCCCCACCCAAGAGAAAGCAAGGAACACTCAGCGACCCTCACGCATGCTCAGACACAGTGGCTTAGATACTTGGAGAGCTGAGTCCTTTCTTGGCATTCTCTTTCTAAAATTGTAAATTGCCTAGTCCACATTATAGATTAGCAGCATGAAAAGTCTGAGGCTGTACTTATTAACTCTTTGGGGATCACTGCTGGGATACAGCTGTCCCTTGGCCAGCAGAGCTATCAGTTCCTTTGTGTGGCCCCAGCTGCCCAGCATAGAACTTAGGCCTGGCTCATAAGGCCTAAGAGTAGTGATTTTCAACTGGAGTGCCATGAGAGGATCTTAGGCGTCCTGTGAAAATGTTTAAAGATTAATTAAATTGTTTTCAAAAGAAGTTCAAAGCACAGTAAGCATATTCTTTTTTTGATCAATATAATGTAAGTGTGGAGGGAAGTTTAACTATCGGTTCAAGTGTGCCGTGAGATAAAAAAGGTTGAAAAACACTGCATAGAGCATATTTTGGAAATCTAGAAGGGCTCACAGAAAGGATGCAGAGAACTACCCAAAGCAGTGATCACCACCTACATGGTCATAGGGGCAAAGGTAGAGGATATGGGGAGGGTGAGTGTAACAGTCCATGGCTGCTTCTTGGGTTGAAGATAGAGAAAAAAATTAGAAGGAAAGGCAAGAGCAGGGAATAGAGTCAGACTACACAGAAAGATCAATAACTCCTGGCCAGAAATCTCTCCATTGGCCTTCCCCTGTGGGTCACCTGTGAGTCTAGGAGCTAACCCAGAAAAGTTCCCTTCCATATTCCCTAGAAGTGCCCTTGGTAGCAGCCAAAGTCTCTATATTCTTTCCTTCAGTACTTTTCCCCTCCCAAAGAGAAATATTGGAGATGAATGATGAAGTACTGGGTAAGGATGCTTGCTCTGAAACACACATATTCACATAATAAAGAGCCTGAAGGAACTCTGAGTACATAGTACCTGCCAGAGACAACAAGACAGAGAATGGGGCTGGGGAAGAAAAGGGAGAGGGAAAGGGGAAATAGAGAAGTGGGGCACGGGGATGGTGAGAAAGGCAGAGATATCCAGAGAGAGAAAGAGAGCAGGAGGGAGAGAGACAAACTCTCAACACAGTTGAACACAGATACAACCTCAATGCATACACATGTACACTACTGTACAAATATGAACACAAAAGTGACACTAACACAAAGAAGAATAGGATCCACGGATGGATAGAGCAAGCTGTTATGGTTTTTTGTTTGTTTTTTTCTTTAGAGACAGAGTCTCACTTTGTCGCCCTCGGTAGAATGCCATGGCATCACAGGTCACAGCAACCTCCAGCTCTTGGGCTTAGCTAATTCTCTTGCCTCAGCCTCCCGAGTAGCTGGGACTACAGGCACTTGCCACAATGCCCAGCTATTTTTTTGTTGCAGTTTGGCTGGGGCCAGGTTCGAATTCGTCACCCTTGGTATATGGGGCTGGTGCTCTATTCGCTGAGCCACAGGCACCACCCAGAGCAAGCTTTTTCTATAATGGATTGGCTAGTAAATATTTTAGGCTTTGTAAGCCATATAGTCTCTGTGGCAACTTCTCAACTCTGCTGTTGTGTGAAAGCAGCCACAAACATAGTGTAAACAAATAAGCATGGCTATGTTCCAATACAACTTTATGGACACTAAAATCCAGCTTTCATATAATTTTCACATGTCATGAAATAGCAGTCGTTTCCTTGTTTTCAACTATTTAAGCATGTAAACCATTCTCATTCTGTGGGCCATAGCTTGTGACCTTGATATAGACACACACACAACAGAGGCAGACCACAAAGGCAGGCAAAGAGACAGAGGCAGGTAGGCAGACAAAGGCAGACCCTCCTACACAGAAATCCCACCTCCAACAGAAAGGTCCAGACTGACAAAAAGACAAAGCTACAGACAAACATGAACGCAGAAAGATACCTAGATAGACATCCCACCAGAGGCAGAGACACACAGACCTTCATACTCAAACCTAGACAGACACTGAGACACATACAGACTTACAGACACACACAGACAAATGGACCCAGACAGGCACAGAGTTAGACACAACCCGGTTATGATGCAAAGATAAAAGAAATAGCCATAGTTATACATTGTCAATGTAATTTATGCCACTGAACTGTAAACTTAGAAATGGTTAAGTGGCAAATTTTGTTATATGTATTTTTTATCACAATTAAATAAAAAAGCCATACAAATACCAACAGATCTATAATATATAGATACACTCGAGCAGATGCATATACTTCCAGAACAACACACCCCACTGACAAATGCTCTGAGAAGTACCACACTGACACACAGAGACAGGGCTGGGGGCATGGTTAGGAGACAGGGAAAGAGTAAACAGAAGAGAGATGTGTACGCACTCACATTCTACACACATTACCATGCCACGAGAGGAGGCACAGAGATAGAGCGTGGAAGCAGCACAAGCAGTGAGAAAGCCTGAAAGATACACAGAGAAAAACTAAAAGGGACAGAAAGAGACAGACAAAGTTGTTCTCACCTATTAACACAAATCCAGAATCTAGAGGCAGCTGCAAAGACAGTGAGTGTGAAGGATATGAGGGAACAAGAGTAGGAACAGATAACAAAATGAAGAGCAAGCTTTAGACAGGGAGAAAAAGAGAGTGCAAGAGGATGAAGAACAGGATTCAAGAATAGCCAAAAATAACCTAAAACCACCAGAGGACAAGGTTGGTGTTCAAGGATGGGAAAAACCAAAGTTCAAATGAAGAGAGAACAGAGAAATAAGCAGGCTGTGAGTAGAAGGAAATAAAAAGCAAGACAAGGAAGGGCACTGTAGGAACACAGCTGGGCCAAGGCCAGCAGTGCCCACAGGAATGGGCAGGTCAACTCACTGTGAGGACAGGTCCAGGGATGTGGGTGGAGGATTCCAGGTGTCTGGGTAGCCGAGCATCCAGTCTGACCAGACTTTCACACTGGGGAGCAATTCCTTCAGGTCCGGGACAAAGGAAGACACCTTGATGTCATCTTGGTCATCCTGATCCTCAGGAGAGGACAGCTGAGCTGCAGAGGCAAAGGGTGAGAACTGGGCCTATGTCTGCTGTGGCCTCCAAGTGAGGACTGGGGCGTTGGGATGGCAGCAAGTTCTTAGGGAAGGGAGATTAAGTCCACAGGAAACCTGGGCCCAGAGGCGAGCACAAGTGCCAGCACCTAAGAGGATTCTTAGGTGAAAAGCAGGACAAAGAAAGAACCAGTACACTGGGTCTGCTCCCAGTGATAGCTATTTCTCTTTATCTGGCTGAAGTCTCTACTCTGTCTGCTAGCTTACCCTTCTAGCTTTCCTTCAGTAAAAGGAAAAGTACTAAGATGGTAACAGAGTTCCTGCCAGAACTATAATACCTGAATTTAATCATAAGAAAACATCAGAGAAACCCAAATTACAAGACATTCTACAAAATAAATGACGTGTACTCTTCAAAATGTCAAGCAATTCAGGTGTCTGAGACAAGAGAATTGCTTGAGCCCAAGAGTCTGAGGCTGCTATGAGCCACAATGACACCATTCTCTACCCAGGGCAACAGAGTGAGACTCTGCCTCAAAAAAAAAAAAAAAAGAAAGAAAAGGCTAGGCATGATGGCTCATGCCTATAATCCTACACTCTGGGAGGCCAAAGTGGGTGGATTGCCTGAGCTCACAGGTTCGAGACCAGCCTGAACAAGAACGAGACCCCACCTCTAAAAATAGCCAGGCATAGTGGTGGGCGCCTGTGGTCCCAGTTACTCAGGAGGCTGAGGAGAAATAAAAAAAAGTCAAGATCATAAAGGAAAATGAAAGATTGAAAAACCATTCCAAATTGCAGGAAACTAAAGAGAAATGACATTTGTTTCTCCCCCTTAAAGAAAGAGTCTCACTTTGTCACCCTCAGTAGAGTGTCATGGCATCATAGCTCACAGCAACCTGAAACTCCTGGGCTTAAGCAATTCTCTTGCTTCAGTCTCCCAAGTAGTTGGGACTATAGGCTCCCACCGAAACACCCAGCTATTTTTAGAGAGGAGGTCTTTGCTCTGGCTCAAGCTCATCTCAAACTTGGGAGCTCAGATAATCCACCTCGGCCTCCCACAATGCGAGGATTACAGGCGTGAGCCACCCCGCCTGGCAAAGACATCTAAATGCAATGTGTGATCCTGGATTGGACCCTAGAGCAGAAAAATAATTTTTTTTCTTGCTATAAAAAACATTATTAGGATGATTGGTACAAAGTGAATAAGGTCTGTACATTCAATAAAAGTATTATATCAATATTAATTTTCTGATTTTGATGATTGTTATTAAATGTAAAATTAGTTCAATATAAAAAGTTATTCCCTTGTCTCAGAAGAAAGGCAGCCCAGTGGCTGGAATCATTCAAAGAGCTGGTATGCTAGTGGATGACAGAGGGGCCTTACTCCTCACTAATATTGATCTAGAAGCTGAAATAAAGGTGTGACGTTCAGCCCTACCTTACACTGCTACATCAATCTAAGGACAGTCTTTAAGGATATGGGATATTACCTCAACTCAAGGGCTAAAAATAACACCCATTCTAGTCCAATGAGTCTCCCAAGATGACTGGTCCACAGTGGTTAAAGCACCCACCAGGTACCAGACAAAGAGGGACACAGAGATAAAGGGTAAAGAACACAACATGAACAAGTATGAACAAAAAGTGAACTTCACTTTTCTGGTGTTTTAAAAATGCAGAGTCATGCAGGGTATGTTGACCAGTTTGATGAAAGCATTTCAAATTGTATGTAAAACCAGCACATTGTACCCCATGATTGCATTAATGTACACAGCTGACTTAATAAAAAATAAATAAATAAAAATGCAGAATACCTAGCAGCTCATAGGTAAAGTGAAAATCCTAATTACAAAAGGAAAAAAAGGGGAGGGAATGGTTCCACAAAAAAGAAAGCGGGCCTCAGAGGCAGTCAGACTACAAAAGGAGATAAGACTAGGTCCATGGGCAAAAGGAAGAGGCACATGTGAGGAAGAGGAAGAACAGAACAGGAACAGACCCTGAGAAGCAGCGCAGCACTCAAGGCTTGTCTGGACAGGGCCAGGCAACTGGAAAGCCCTCGAGTTAGGGGGCCCTTCCTGCTTACCTTTGGCAGACTCCTTAAGTAAGCAGGTGCAGCGCCGTACCAGTAGAGAAAACATAGCCAAGCCCAGGGCTGCAGCTTGCTCCTGGATCACAGAGCGACACTCCTCTGAGAAGCAGTCTGAGGAGAGGCACATGAAACTCCATCATTATCTGGGGGGATAAGGGCTAGGCTGCTCTACTTACAAGATGTGCATCCTTGGCGTATTACTGAGCTTAGTTTTCGTCACCTAAAACTGTAATATGCCTTCTCTCAGAGTAGCTCTAAGGCTAACTAAGAATGTATGTGAAGCACTTACCACAAGCTCTGGCTACAAGAAGTGCTGCTAACACGGTAATGATCACCTGCGTCAACTCTGCAGCACATCACTTCCCCAGGACCAGTTACCTCAAGGTGAGCGTTTGAGCCAGAGCCACAGGGGTTACTGATAATGTAAAGCTATAGTAACACAAACTCAGATTTAATTTTTTTTTTTTTTTTTTGAGATAGAGCCTCAAGCTGTCCCCCTGGGTAGAGTGCCGTGGCATTACAGCTCACAGCAACCTCCAACTCCTGGGCTCAAGCGAGTCTCCTGCCTCTGCCTCCCAAGTAGCTGGGACCACAGGCACCCACCACAATGCCCAGCTATTTTTTGGTTGCAGCTGTCATTGTTGTTTGGCGGGTCCGGGCTGGGGATTCAAACCCGCCACCTTAGGTGTATGTGGCTGGCGCCTTAGCCGGTTGAGCTATAGGCGCCTAGCCACAAACTCAGATTTAATTAACTCAGTCTTTCTAATTAATGTACAGCAAGCAGAGCACAATCATCAATTAAGATTAGAAAATACAAATTTAAAAATTACCTTCTTCAATCACCAACCTTTGTTTTCATCCTCACCTCCTCTATGTTCCTCCACACATGACACAACCAACCGTTTTTCACTGAATGAGTTAATTTTATAGAGAGCAGTGCTTCGCATATAATAAGTACTTTATCAGGGGTAGTTTTTGTTTTCACAAATTTTTATCCCTATGACTAAAAAATAAATCCAGCTCCTAATACCGGCACCCTGCTTCCCTCACTTTTTCAGCCTGGCTAACTTCCTTCTTACTGCAGGTAAGGAAGCCACCCTGTGGGTGGGCAGAGTTACTCTTTGGTGGGAGTTATATAAGACACTCTCAAATCCCTGCCTGTACCTACTCTTTGTCAGGTCCTTCCCTCATAGCCACTTCATCTCCACTTGAGAGGAATCGGGCAAACAGAGGGCAAAAGTCCAACTAACAGCTTCAGAGAAGATTCCCACTATACAGAGGAGATGGAATCAGGGCCAGGCTCACTAACTGTGACAGCAGCTAATCTGTTAATTCCCTCTGCAATACAGGAGAACTCTCAGAATCTCCAATTATTAGCCACATGTTTGTTTTCTGTCAGCATTTTAACCTCAATAGCCCAGGGGGGAGCATCTCTATCTCTAGTCTTACCAATAGGGCTTGCCTGAAATCCAGGAGATATTACACAACCATAGTATTCCTTTGTCTAGGAGCAAGTATAACTGGAGAATACAAGCTGGCCCCAAATAAATTTTTTTTATTCTTTTTTTTTAATTTGAAGTCTTCGTCTGCTGCCCCAGGTTAAAGTGCAGTGGCATCAGCCTAGTTCACAGAAACCTTGGGATCAAGCCATCCTGCCTCACTCTCCCAAGTAGCTTGGATTACTTACAGGCACCTGCTACAAGAGGCAGCTAACTTTTCTATTTTTACTACAGACAGGGTCTAGCTCTTGTTCAGGCTGGTCTGTAACTCAAGTGATCCTCCTGCTTTGGCCTCCCAGAATGCTAGCATTATAGGAATGAGCCACTGTGCCTGGACCCAAACCATTTCTTTTCTTTTTTTTTTTTTTTTTTTTTTGACAGAGCCTCAAGCTGTCCCCCTGGGTAGGGTGCTGTGACATCACAGCTCACAGCAACTTCCAACTCCTGGGCTCAAGCGAGTCTCCTGCCTCAGCCTCCCAAGTAACTGGGACCACAGGCGCCCCCACAACGCCTGGCTATTTTTTGGTTGCAGCCGTCATTGTTGTTTGGCAGGCCGGGCTGGATTCTAACCCGCCACCTTAGGTGTATGTGGCTGGCGCCTTAGCCGCTTGAGCCACAGGCGCCGAGCTAGACCCAAACCATTTCTGAAAGTCCTAGGAAGGAGGAGGAGCAGGCTGCTGCTCAGAACGGACCAACATATGAACAGCATCAGTGTAGCAATTCCACTGTGGCTTTCCTGCCATCCTTCCTAGATGCCTATTGGTCCCAAATGTTACCCTCTAACTTTCCAACTCAACTGTGGCAGGCAATAAGGAAGTGGTCACAATCCATGTGATTAGAAAAGATCACTGCTCTCATTCTTCTCCTGATAAGGCTCTAAACCTGTGGTGGAGAGAAAAGAAAACAAGCATCCAAGAACTAAGGAGGAAGGAAAGCAGGGAAGAGGAAGATGGATAAAGATATATAAGCTGTCCCAAGAAAAGATGCCAACTCTTCCCCAGCTCCCTTCCTATAGGCAAGAGCACTGTCAGTATGCTCCCAGCTCTGGCCAGGCCTCTGCAAAGCACTGCTAGCAGCCTGCCTCTAATTAGCAACAAAGCCCAGAATGAAGAAGTCCAGGAAAGAGGAACCTGGGAAAGGACTAATAGATCTTGGTGGTTAACACGCTGATTAAACATTAGTGCCCCCATCAACTGGGGATCTTAGGCAGAAGTTACTTGCACACAGAAAGTTAGAAGGGATGGGGAGGGTATCTTAACTCTAGACACTGGCATTTTAAGACACAAGGCTATAAGATTCTCTCATTAGCCTCGACAAGGATAAGATGGGGAAGAGGGAGATTTCTTTCACCAAGCCTATTTCCATTTTTATGACAAATGGCAACCCCAGGCTTGACAAGGTAGGGGCTAGGTTTCAAGGCAGAGAATGAACTATTTAAGAACCATTTTGGCCTCTGGAGAGTCCAGGGTGGCTTTTTTTTTTTTTCTTAAAGCCTCCTGCAATAATGTTTGGGGAGGCAGGCAAGGTAGCAACAATTGGGGCCTCCTTGGTGTAAGTCTGGAAGGGGTCATCTGCTTCTCAGACCAAAAAACTACTGGGTAGCTTCATGAAAGCTCTGCTCTACTCTTGGTCATGGTTATATCATCTCAAGAAGGGCCTGATAACACTGCTGGTTTATGTGTACAAACCAGTAAGCTACTCTGCCCTTTCAAACAAGTAGAGATATTGTAGGCTGTCTAAGGGGTCAGAATGTCTGGGTCATGGTCATCCCTCTGACCATGTTATCTACAGTACTTTCTGAAAGATTATCTACAGTACTTTCTGGAAGCCTTTTCCATGGCTCAGTGGTACCACAAGCACATCTGGAGCACCTATGATAGGCTAGACGATATACTAGTTATGATAGAGAACATAACTACAAATAAAACATGGTCTCTGCAAACTTAGGACCTTTTAATACAGGGAAGAAAATCATTGTTTAGGGCCAGGTATAGTGGCTCATGCCTGTAATCCTAGCACTCTGGGAGGCCGAGGCGAGTGGGTTGCTTGAGCTCAGGAGTTTGAGACCAGCCTGAGCTAGAACAAGATCCCCTGTCTCTACTAAAATAGAAAAACTAGCTGGGCATCACAGAGAGTGTCTGTAGTCCCAGTTCCTTGGGAGGCTGAGGCAAGAGGATCACTTGAGCCCAAAGAATTTGAGGTTGCTGTGAGCTATGATACTACAGCATTCTACCCAGAGCAACAATAAGACTCTGTCTCAAAAAAATAAAAGAAAAAAGAAAGAAAAGAAAAATCATTATTTATACAAGTAACCATGGCAATTTGAACCTAGTGTCTTAAGTGAGAAATGTATTAAGTACACGGTACCTTCATGGGATGCTCTTTGCCCCTGGGCTAGAAGCCATAAAAAAATCACTCCTTAAAAGTACTCACCACTAAGGCTGGGTGCGGTGGATCACGCTTGTAATCCCAGCACTCTGTGAGGTCGAGGCAGGTGGACTGCCTCAGCTCACAGGTTCAAGACCAGCCTGAGCCAGGGTGAGACCCCATCTCTAAAAATAGTGGGATGTTGTGGAGGGTGCTTGTAGTCCCAGCTGCTTGGGAGGCTGAGGTAAGAGAATCACTTAAGCCCAGGAGTTTGAGGTTGCTGTGAGCTATGACGCCACAGCACTCTACTAAGTGTGACAAAGTGAGATTCTGTCTCAAAAAAAGAGTATTCACCATTATACAAACGAGTAGGAAAAAATCTAGATTCCCAGAGTCCACATGATTTAGGGCTAGACCTAGGAAACTGGACCTTGTCTGACAAATACCCATATACAGAAGGTGCCAAGGCTCGGCGCCTGTGGCTCAAGTAGCTACGGAGCCAGCCACATACACTGAGCTGGCGGGTTCGAATCCAACCTGGGCCCACCAAACAACAATGATGACTGCAACCAAAAAATAGCCAGGTGTTGTGGCGGGCACCTGTAGTCCCCGCTACTTGAGAGGCAGAGGCAGGAGACTCACTCGAGCCCGGGTGTTGGAGGTTGCTGTGAGCTGTGATGCCACAGCACTCTACCCAGGGTGACAGCTTGAGGCTCTGTCTCAAAAAAAAAAAAAAGTATCAAAATAAAAAAATATATACACATTTTAAGAAAGAGAAAACTGTATTAAATTTGTAATATTCAGCCCGGGCACAGTGGCTCACGCCTGTAATCTGAGCACTGGGAGGCCAAGGCAGGTGGACTTCCTGAGCCCACGAGTTCGAGACCAGCCTGAGCAAGAGCGAGACCTGTCTCTAAAAATAGCTGGGTGCTACTGACCTCAGGAGTTTGAGACACCTGCAGGTGCCTGTAGTCCCAGTTACCTTGGAGGCTGAGGCAAGAGAATATCTTAAGCCCAAGAGTTTGAGGTTGCTGTGAGCTATGACAGCACAGCACTCTACCTAGGGTAGCAAAGTAAGACTCTGTCTCAAAAAATAAATAAATTAATTAAAGTAAATAAATAAGTTTGTAATAATAAAGTCACATTTAACTTCTGCAATTACAAGCAGTGTTCCACGTGACTTGTATTCATCTTTTGTAAATGGTATATATTGAGTACTACAAACTTAAGTTTTTTCCTTTCTTA